AAAGCAGCCAACACTCTTACAAACTTTGCCGGAACTTCGAGTCTCACTCCTCTCCTCGGTGCCTTTGTCGCCGACTCCTTCGCCGGCCGCTTCTGGACCATCACTTTCGCTTCCATCATCTACCAAATCGTACGTTTTTTTTGTTATTCAAAAATATGTCTGAGGAGTCACTGAACCATTGGCCGTTTTCCTCGACCAAACTTAGTCCAGTTTTCAAATTTTTCGAGCATTTCTTTCTCACGTTCTCCTTCTAACGAGCAATTGTAAGCAGGGGATGACATTGCTAACGATATCGGCAATAATACCGACTCTAAGGCCACCACCATGTAAAGGAGAAGAGGTTTGCGTAGTAGCAGACACAGCACAGTTGAGTATATTGTACATAGCTCTTCTTCTTGGAGCTCTCGGGTCGGGTGGGATTCGACCTTGTGTTGTTGCTTTTGGTGCGGATCAGTTCGACGAGTCTGATCCTAACCAAACCACCAAAACCTGGAACTACTTCAACTGGTATTTTTTTTTGTTTTTGTGTCATTCAAAATATGTATACACATATCAATAATAAAATTATATAAAATAGATTCCTCAGACTTTTAGTTTTTGTACATGGTGACAAAAAAAGACAATTATTCTGATCATAGTTTTAGTATGTTTCAAACATATTAGGTAATCCTAACATGGCTGTATTAAGTAAAAAAATGCAGCTAATAGCTATTAATTAAGCCTTTCTTTATTAAAATACATCTAGAAGTCTTAAGATTAATATTTACATGCAAGTGTCTGATGGAAACTTCTAGCAAAGAACAAGTTTCTTATAGTATTACTGAAATTAAATTATTGTAGTTTTCTACATGAAAATAAAGTAATCTTCTAGATGTCCAAAGGTCCTTTATATATGAATTATGAGCATGTGTTTGCTGGAACTAGCTACAACCTCCGATTGTTAATTATTACTTTTTATTAGTTGAAATTTTCTTTTAATTATCCTTGCAATTATTAGAACCCTTAATAATGAAGCTAATTGTTGATGGATTTTTATTATTAGGTACTACTTTTGCATGGGTGCAGCGGTTTTAGTGGCGGTGACTGTTCTTGTGTACATCCAAGATAACGTTGGGTGGGGTCTAGGTTTGGGCATCCCGACAGTAGCTATGTTCTTATCCGTTATTGCTTTTGTCGGCGGTTTCCGGCTTTACCGTCACTTGGATCCATCGGGTAGTCCGTTTACCCGGTTGATCCAAGTGGCAGTCGCGGCATTTCGCAAAAGAAAATTGAGGATGGTTTCTGATCCTATACTTCTCTATTCCAACGATGAGATTGATGCTCCTATCTCTTTAGATGGTAAACTCACCCACACCAAACACATGAGGTAATAATAATTGATGACCCTTTCTTCTGTAATTTCTATTTCATTATATATTTGGTGTAGGTATAAAGGCAACATCCACTACGATAATTTAGAAAGTTTAATATATATATAAAACTGAAAACACTATACTTTAAACAAAGAGTAGTTAGAAAAACAAATATATGTCATAGTTGATGTAAATTAGAGCTGAAGAATGACGAAAGAAAATATTTTAAAAAATCACTGATATAATAAGATTTTGCCATTTTCATGTTTAAGAAAAAAGCACTGTACGATTTATTAATTGTCTTGACTTTCCTCTATAATTAATTTACAAATTTAATTAGAGTCAATGGTATACTTTTAAATTTTTAATCGTTCAAATATTGAATTTTTAGTCAATATATAAAACTATATAATATCAGATGGTCGACATAAGTATATGATATCACCCCGCTTTGAATATATAACTAATTATTTTAAGATTTATGTATCTGTTTGACTATATATTCAGATAGTGACGATTAGTCGTAATAGAATCTGAATCTATAACTAAAAAATGTTATATATCTTGTCAGTACGACCTGAAGAGTAAATCAATATAGAAACGTAAACAATTGAGTAATCGTACAACAACTTGTCCACTGGGTGAAACCAGACAAAATTAATAAAAGTAAAACCACGAAATACATCCAAATGAACCTACATCATAATTGTAAACGGTGATTCATTGAAAAAAAAAAAAGAGAATTCCAAAAGCAACAAGACGTGAAGCTCTCTTCACTCCAAGACAACACATCAAAGTTGTCATTTTTTCTCTTTTTTTTTTGGCATATATATGCAGCAATAATTATTAATTGGACCCAATTTGAAAATAGTAAAAGTCTTAGATAAACCGAGTATAATATTCGATTTTTGTATCCAAACATTTTCACTAAAATCAATCTTAAATCATTTCGGATTTGATTGATAACCTCTTATCATTAGCCTAAGTGTTATATACCGATTTGATTGTTGGCTTGTAGCTAACAAAGATTTTTCCTATCGAAAACAATATTACCGTTTATCTTGCATCAGTATCTATTATTTTATATCTTCTAACTAATCTGCTATCATTTACCATTTTTATTGGTATAGTTTCTTGGACAAGGCAGCGATAGTGACTGAGCAAGACAACATGAAACCGGGTCAAATCCCTAACCCATGGAGGCTAAGCACAGTCCACCGAGTCGAAGAGCTCAAGTCGGTGATCCGAATGGGTCCGATCGGAGCCTCTGGTATCCTCCTCATTACAGCATATGCCCAACAAGGAACCTTCTCTCTACAACAAGCCAAAACCATGAACCGTCACCTCACAAAATCCTTCCAAATCCCGGCCGGTTCAATGTCAGTCTTCACCACCGTGGCAATGCTTTGCACAATCGTCTTCTACGATCGCTTGTTCGTCAAGCTAGCTCGCAGAGTCACGGGTCTCGAGCGAGGCATCACGTTCCTACACCGAATGGGAATTGGATTCGTCATATCGATCATCGCCACGCTAGTCGCCGGATTCATCGAGATCAAACGTAAACACGTAGCAATGGAGCATGGTCTCCTCGATAAGCCTCACACGGTGGTTCCTATCTCGTTTCTATGGCTAATCCCTCAGTACAGCCTCCATGGAGTCGCTGAAGCTTTCATGTCGATAGGACATTTGGAGTTTTTCTATGATCAAGCCCCGGAGAGTATGAGAAGCACCGCGACCGCGCTTTTCTGGATGGCTATTTCGATCGGGAACTATGTGAGCACTTTGCTTGTGACTCTGGTTCACAAATTCAGTGCTAAACCGGATGGGAGCAATTGGTTACCAGATAACAACTTAAACCGAGGGAGGCTTGAGTATTTTTACTGGTTAATCACTTTGTTACAAGCTGTTAATTTTGTGTATTATCTTTGGTGCGCCAAGATTTACACGTATAAACCGGTTCAGGTGCATCATAGTAAAGAAGGTAGTAGTCCGGTCAGAGATGAATTGCAGTTATCTAATAGGAGTGTATAAGTTGATGCATGATGAGCCTTGGGTGTGTAATATAAAATCACTAGTAGTACTGTATTTATCAAATTTCAATAAAAAGAGAAAGAATGACTTTGTTCATACCGGTGTTTTATATGGATATAAACTGCTCCAATCCGATCTTAAAATTTGAATTAAGTACATAACGATTATACAACTTGTGTTTTATTTTCTCGTATTTTTAATAGTTCAATTGCCTATTTAGTTCGAAATGCTAGATCTTGAGTAACTTTTTTAGGGCTTTTTATTAAGGGACATTTGCTTTGATATTCTGAAATTAACTCATGTAGTCTAGCTCTAGTTTCAACATCCAACATAGTTTATCATGTTGACAACAAAAAGAAAACAGAATATTTTAAAAATATCTTTCAGAATTAC